CCAGCGCTATTTGAGGTGTCTTTGGCAAATCAGGATGCTGTATGGAGTTTGAAGCAGGGTTGGATGGAATCATAGAATAGGTCCCTGGGGTTTTGAGAAAGCCAGGTCCTCTTCAGCAAGTTACTATTATCTTTATTTGGGGGTCGGAGGGAGGATTGGCCCTGAGCCAACATCTGTTGCCAATCTTCCTCTATTTTATGTAAGATGCTGCCACAGCATGGCTTGACCAGCAGTGGTAGGTCTATGCCTGGGATCTGAACCTGTGAACCCCAGGCTGCCGAAGTGGAGTGTGCAGACTTAACCACTACATTACTGGGCTAGCCCCATTATCATCTTTTTAAGAACAGCTCTAAGCTTGCTACCAGGCCCTGGTTGAATGTATGACCACTAGACACCAGATAATCAGGCAACCTGAGTACCTATCGTGAACTGAGTTTATCTGGTCCACCTAACTATAAACCAGGCAGGCCCAGCAACACACCATTATCTGTGGAAATGATATAAGCAGGACCAGGCTCAAGAAAGTCCTAATGGTACAAGTGAGTTTCATAAGGTTATATTCCTAGTACGTCTACTCCTAAGGTGTTGCTACTCTTCACTCAACTAACTTCCATGGCTGAGGTGCCATGAAGTATGCAGAATGAAGCATATTCTTTGAAGCATATCGAATACTCTTTCTTGCATACCTAGAAATCATGAGTCTAGAAACCCAGGAGTAGAAGTGGGGATGGCACTTCTCACTATTACACATTGTTACATGTTATCAAAGTTTGTGCTTCTAATCTTTATGACTCTGAGCATTACAGACTTATAAATTTTAGCATCCAAGGAAGAATGTGTCTACCAGGAAACACAAAAATTAGCTCACTGAATTGAAAGTTGAAGTTCTAACATAGCTGTTTGTGCTCCCATTCCCTCTGAATGAATAGGCAAGAAAAATGGGCTTACTATATTGTTTAGAGTACTTGCTCTAGATCATTAAGGGGAAATAACACTGCTGCAACACATTGAGTCCAGCAGGAGTATGAATTGAGCACAAGGGATACCATAAGGTGACTTATGGTTCTTCTATTTCCGGTGGTAATAGATTGATGGAAAACCAGTGCAACCCTATGCAGATAAAACTACAAAAGGGAAAAAATCCCTCAAAAGTAAGCGTTTGCATCACCCACAAATTTAAAAAACCGGAATGCCTGAGTACTGAATGAAAACAAAAGAAATATGGGCAAGTTAATGAAGGAGGAAAATTTAAATACTAACCATAAAGAAACAATCTTTCAACTACAGTGAAAACAAGATAGAAGTACCTATGTGAACTACCCTTCATATTGCATTATACATATAATTATATATTTTAATAAATGTTAGTCTCAGTTCTTCTCACTTTCCCTCACTTTTTCATGTAGAATATGTTTGTTGTGATCAGCTTCACAATTTATTCTGTAAATTACATGATATTAATGCAAATTCATGCCAGAGCTAGTATCAACCACAGATCCTTAACTTGAAGCTTGATGCAATATCTGATGAGAATCTGGAGAGAAGATAAGTTGTTTTGGGTTGAATAAGAGATAGCTGAATTATATTAGACAGAGTTTTTTTTCTTTTAGAAGTACAAATATTGAAAGAAGAGTGTACATTGATGTTAATCTAGAAAAGGGGTGGACTGTAAAGACATTGGTCCTTCTTTTTAAACTACTTCTACATTTGTAAAAGTTCACCATCTTATGAGTCTCCCTCCCATCGTAACAGCTTGAAATGACAGATACTTAGTTTCCCAGACTCCCCGTAGCTAGGATGCAGACACACAACTTAGAGATGATCAGTCAGAAGCCCCCACCTTGGACTTTGAATTGGGAGCTAGTGGCACAAAGAAACCCGGGGTAGTAAGGGGTTTTTCTCTCTGGCATCATTGACAATTCTAGCATAACTGAGTTTCTGGCACAGCCATTGGAGGGGTCCTGGTGGTGGCAAATTTAGGAGCACATTTCTGGCTGAGTAGCTTTGATCATAGTATTTCAGCCCTCCTGATGGTCCGATATCTTTTAGGAAAATTACTATACAGATCAAATTAGCAAAATCTGATTTTGTTTTGCTTGAAATCAAGAACTATAAATTGATACACAAGGTCACAGAGTGAGTTGGTGACCATATTTTCATGAATCAGGTATCTACTTCTGCATAACAAACTACCTCCACACTAGTGACTTAAAACAATAACAACTTATTATTCTCATAATTTTGTGGATTAGTTGGTGGTTCCTCTGCCGCTCACTCCAGTTTCATTCAGCTGGCAGGCTGTCTGCTGACACAGCTGTGTTGGTTGGGCCTCTCTCTGCAAGTGTTCTCCCATCCTCAAGGGGACTAGACCAGGCTACTTCACAGTATGGTGGTCTCAGGTTCTAAGAGGATGAGAGTTGAAGCTGCAGGGCCTCTTGAGACCAAAGCTTAGAAGTCACATGTGTTAGTTCTGCCACATTCTATTGGCCCAATCAAGTCACAAGCCCAGCCCAGATTCAAGGGGAGGGGAAATAGACTCTATCTGTCTAAAGGGGAGACAAAGTCGCATTGCAAACGAGTATGCATGCACAGATGGGGGAAGTCACTGGCACCATCTTTGTAAGCTATCTGATTGTTGGATTACACGAAATGTGCAGAATCCAGCACAGTGGGATCCAGGTGTTCAAACCTTGTCAGAATTCTGTCTCTCTCTTCTTCTCTACACTTTACTGGAAAGACAATAATCAGCAGCTCTGGGTTACAAAACCCTTACAAAAGATGACCTTGGGACAGCTCCATCAAAACCACCCTGAATGAGTTCCCCACAGAAAAGAGGGACTCTGTTGAACAAAAGATAGAAAAATAGGGTGTAGGAGAGACAGTGGCAGAGAGACAAGCCTCAAATTCAGATATCCTGTTTCCTGGACCCGGGCTCTTTCCACTCCAGAAGTTGCCTGCAATTGCTTCATATTCCAGATGAAAACAAAGGAAGGGGAGTAGAATCCTAACCCCATGGAAACCCTGCCCCTAGCCGTTGGCATTGGGAGGATTTACCCCACCTATTTAGGGGAATGTCCCGTCTTAAGGAAACCTGGAAGGCAGGACCTTGGAAGATTGAGATGGAACAGTGATGTGCTTCCCCCTGCAAGTAATTCATAGCCTCCCGACAGTCTGATTTTTTTCTACATACACTGGGCACTTTGAAGGAAGACACTATCACCTGCATTATTTGTATCAATATAGACTTAGCTTCTTTAAACACTGAGGTTTGAATTTTGCACCTTCCCCATCCATCTACGCTTTTCCTCTCTGTACTCATGCTTCTAAGAGAGGCAAATTATGTGTAATCCAACACTCCACTTTCTCGTTTTGGTGACTTTAGGCAAGTGACTCAATCACTGTGAGCCTCAGCACACTCACCTATAAAGTAGGGTTGACAACTCTCTACCTTATAGGGGAGTTGTGAGAATTAAACGAGAGAATGTATACATCATCAGGTCCCCCTCCCTGTTACCAAGGGAAAGCCTCTGAACTTCAGCAACCTCAGCATACGATGTTTTTCCTTTCCTTATTAAGTCAAGAACTTTCACCATTTCACTTAAAGGAAGAACTTTACAGCTTCTCTTTGGCATATCCGAATTGCCAGCATCATGACTCTTGTACTTTGGGGCCATTACTAAGTAAGCCATTATTAAGTAAAATAAGGGTTACTTGACTACAAGCACTGTGATACCACGACAGTCGATCTGATAACCAAGGTAGCTACTAAGTGACTAATGGGTGGGTAGCGTATAGAGTGTGGATGTGCTGGACAAAGGGATGGTTCACATCCCGGGCAGGTCAGAGTAGGATAGTGCGAGATTTCATCAGGCTACTCAGAACGGCACACAATTTGAAACCTATTTCAAAACTGCGGATAAAAAGGGACTACTGTACATAGGTTCTGTGTTGTTTCTTCTTGCCTTGGAACCCACTATATGGCTCCCCACATAACAGAGAGTGGAAAGTGAAGGGGAGAGAGAGGATGAGCTCCTTAGGTCTCCACGGCATCCTGGACGCAGGGAGAGCACCCAGGCTCCCAGGCACAGCCGCCGCCCCTACAGCAGGCCCTCCTGGTGCCTCTCAGGATTCAGTTGTCTCAAATGCCTCACAAAAACTCCAACCAGTGAAAGGAGATCTTCTGCCTGCTTCTTCTCAATGTAGCCTTATTCCACGCCTGCAGATGCTTCCTTTGGTCTGAGCTGACCCTTTCCCCAGTCTGCGGGCACTCTTAGCCTCCATTAAATTCTGCTCCTGATCCCTCTGGAGCCATGTCCGTTAAATACAAAGTTGTTACCATGTTCTCAACTCAGCCTCCTTCACTGGCCCTGTGACCCAAGAGCCCTTCCCACATGCCAACAAGCTTTGTTTTGTCCTACTTGGATAATTTTAGCTGCGCATTGGCCAGGACCCAGACACAACCAGCTCCATCGCTCCCTGTCCAAGGCAGAGATGGTCTCTCAGTGCCCTTCAACTATGAGTTCATCAGGGAGGGTTGATGAAATGATGGGTACACACCCAGCTACGTGCACAGGATTCATTCATTCATCAACAATGCTTTTTGAGCAAGATCTCCTGTGCCAGGCACCTTTGTTGCTGCTGGGGATACAGCAGTGAGCCAAAGAGACCAAGTCCCTTCCCTCACACAAATTACATTCTAGCACGGTCTTAGTAAGAACAGTGGTTTTCAACCTTGGCCTTACATTAGAAATACCTGGAGAATTTTAAAAATCCTAATACGCAAGCAGCATACCAGACCAATTAAACAAGAATTTCTAGAATTTTTTAAAGATCTCCAAATGATTTCTATGTAAAGCTGCAAATGTTTCCTCTGATGCCTCAGATGATCCATCATAAGCCCGTGAAGGAGTCTAGAGTGACTTTCATCTTACTTCATTAATAGAATCTCTGTAAGGAGGAAGGGAACTGACCCGCTATGCTTTGTTCTTACCAACCCATACCTCAGCAATGCCTGAACAGGAACGTGGACAAGCCATTGAGAGGCTCGGTTGGTCCTGAAACTCTGCCATAGGAGGAGCTGAGATGGTGTCACCTGGGAAAGAGAAGATTCTGAGTATAGATGAAGGCTTTTACAAATATTGGAAAGGTTGTCCTGTGGTTGAAGGCCCAGATCTGTTCCACCACTGGGCAGGAGTCTACAGAAAGGCAGATTTCAGTTCAGTGCCAGCCATAACTCTCAACAATCACAATCATCCAGAGATGCAAGGAGCTGCTCTATGGCACAGCAAGGTCTCCATCCCCGGAGGCTGTTCAGCATTGCTGGGACAACTGTGCAGTGGGGGTGGCATGGAGGGAAAACAGCAGTGAACTAGAGACTGACCTCTCTGCCAGTGAGGATGATCTGTACTTTGTGGACTTTGGCGAGGCAAGTGGGTGACCAGCAACAGTGATTGAATCTCCTAGAAACATAGCTGGGGATAGTTTGAGGATGTATCTAGGGCTGTCTTCTCTCTGACACATCTTCCCCCAGTGGATATCAGGTTAGACGTTCTTCAGGTTCCCTTCTAATCCTGCAACTTTCAGATTCTACAGCAGTAGGTTTCTGAGCAGTCATTCAGGCATGGGCCTGAAGAAGTAGTACCAAAAAAAAAAAAGAAGAAAACGTATCATAAGGCATCTAAGAGGAAGGCCCTGGAGCCAGACTGCCAGAGCTTAATTCCTGGCTCCAACTCTTACCATCAGTGTGACTTGAACAAGTTACTTAACCTCTCTGTGCCTTAGTTTCTTCATCTGTATGATAAGGAAAACAAAATTACCTCCATAGAGTCGTTATGAGGATTAAATTAGTAATCTTCAATGTACAGGGAGCTTAGGAAAGTGCCCAGCATAGAGCACTTGCCCTATAAGTATGAGCTATATCATTTTCAGGAAAGAAAATTATTTTGTCATTTTTTCCTACAGTTAATCATTATCATTTGTCCCTACAGTGAAAAGACACCTAATTTGGGCCTCAAGTGGGGCTTAAGACCATACCTGATAGGTACTCTATTTACCAAGTACCCGGAATCTACCAGAGAAGATGAAACAAGGCACGTCTCTGGATATTGAAGGCTGCTGTTCATCATGAGCTGGCCTGGAACAAGCAAACATGTGCATACACACAGGCACAAGCACACACATGTACACACAAACACGCATGCACACAAAATCTACCACCTAGAAAAGTCTCAAAACTCTGTGCTCTCTCCTTTTGATCACTCTCCCTTATCCCCCACCAAGAAAAAAAAGAAAAATATCATACCACTCCCTAAAGAAGAGATAAAATCACTGTCCCTGGAGTTGTGAGGCTGGCATTTCAAGTTCTGAAGAAGCTCTTTCTGGAAGGAAAGGGAAAAATTGATAGGCTCATATCCTTTCTCATTGGAAGGGCCTGCTGGCTCTGAGAGGCAGGCAAAGCAGCTGGCCTTAAGCAGGTGACACCATCCCTGGATGACTGGGAGATCTCCAGGAGCTGGGGTCACCGTTGTTACAACCCCATCCACACAAAATTGCCCAAAGTACAAGTCCCCAAGCTGACAAATGGTCTAAGCCCTCCAGTGCGGCTCGTCTTGCTCTCTTCTGTAGTTCAGACTGATGCGGGGCCTCCTGCTAAGAGGACACTTGTCCTCAGGGCCAGCTGGGGACTGGGACTAGGAGCTCCTTAAATTGGTGATAAAGCTCTAAGGAGCATGTTCTTAGAATCAGGTGGCTCCTTCTCCTCAGCAAAGCCTGGGTCTGATATTGGAGCCAGGAGTTCATTATCCAAGGAAAAATGCTTCATGGAAGGGAGGGGGGTTCCAGAGTCATTCCTTACCCCTGGAGCTGGCTTGAAAACAACTCTGACCCTTGGGAAGGTGATAGCAAGAGGGAAAGGCTGGCTCTGGGGTCCCAGCACATTCAGTCCTCCCACGGGAAGTAGAGGTGTGAGAAGCGATGGCTCAGTTGGGCTTTGAGAGGTCTTGGTTCTATTGGCAGCGCTGTCACAAATTAGCTGATTGACTTTGGGCAAGTCTCATCTCCTCTCTGGGCACAACTTCCTTTTCTATAAAATTAAAGGATGTACTAAAACATATCTGAGGAGCCTTCTCAATTTGGTTGTCTAGGATTCTAGTAGGCTAAGAGCAATTGCCCACCCAACTGGCCCAGAGCACCCAGGGGCATGAGGAAGGGGTCGGAGGGTGTCCTGTCCAGTGAGAAATGATTATCCGGAGCCAGACTCTTTCTTATTCTCCAGGCCAGGGGGCATCAGTCATTTGCTTGATAAGCAAGTGAAGAGACGATGGCTAAAGACTCATCTGTCTCTTTCATGTATCTGCAAAGACATAGCAGAGCAATGTTCTCAGCCTCTGGGAATTCTGCCCTGGGCCTGGAGGGTAGAGTGAAGCCGTGAAGGACCCCACAGGCCCCAAGGCTGAGCTTGATTCCAATTTGAAGCTGTCAGAGCTACAGCTTGAATTCTGAGCAGCCCTGGTCTCGCGGGGCTTATGGCTCCTCCTGGCTGCCTGAGAAATTATTCACTTGGATAAACCCAAATTAGACTTAGGAAAGTAGCACATTTCTCTTTACCCTCTAGATGTCTAGAGAGTTTCTCCAATGCCCTACACTTTAATACACACCTTCCTCTCTCCCCTAAACCCCCTCAAGTCATAGCTCTGGAAAATTCTCAGGACTCAGTCATTTCCAGAGTTGGTCAGAGACATTGGTCTGAAGCCTAGCAGTGCTAGAGCTGGTTGTGCAAGATCCATCACAAGGAGGGGTGGCTGGCATGAAAAAAAGGAACCCATGGGCCTTGCAAATAAATGCCAGACTGTACTCAGCCCTATAAAGACTCAGTGGAGACATTAGGAAACCTTCCCTAGCTTCCTACCTCCTTGCTGCCCCTGTTCTTAGTGAAGTGCCTTCCCTTCCTATTTGCACACTAAAAACAAAAAACATGGAGCTGATTGTAAGATTCACAAAGATTCCCCATTGGCCATGTCTACCCATACTCCTACTCTCTGTCCAAGCCTGATTGGTCCAAGGGTAGAGACACCTGACCCAATCTGGGCCAATTGGATTCTCCCTCCCAGGAAGTTGAAGACTTGAGCACACAGAGACCAGACTCATGGCATTCATTTCCTGGATTTGGAGCTCATGGCATTTGTTTCCTGGAAACAAGATCAATGAAGATCTACCAGTGAGGACCCTGGAACTGCCTGGGTCATTCAGATTTCCCTTTAATTCTGTGAACAACCATACTGGCCTTCCTCTTGAGCTGCCTGGAATTAATTTAGTCATTTCCCTCTGAAGACACTTAATTGGTAAAAGCTCCCTTAAGTACCATCCTTCTCCTCATCCCAGTACTTGCACACTATTGCAATCACCTTTTTCTTTTTGCCCAACTCTTTGCCTAGACCAGAAGCTCCATGGTATCCTGGACCATAGATTGGTCTCACTTCACCTCTCCATCCTCTCTTCACCTGGCTAACTCCCACCCTTCCCTCAGGCCCTAGGTGAGAGATCAGTACCTCTGATAAGCCTTCCCTGACCCCTACCCCCTGCACCCCTTGCGTGGGTTAAGTGCCTCCTGGAATTTGTTCCCACAGCAGTACTTCCTCTGAGGTAAGTACTTATCTATCTCCCATGAGACTGTAGTTCATAGAGGAAGGAGCTGTAGCCCGTTTGCCGTGGCCCGTCTCCAGCACACAGTACAGTGCCTAGGACACAGTCTGCACTCAGTAAATATCTGTGGGATGAATAAGTGAATGAATGAAGACGCACACTAGTCGTCTTTCCTCCTTCTCACGGTAAAATAATAGAAATTAATTACCTGGTCATGATTATTATTCATCTCAGAATGCAATCAGTAGTCAACAAATTAGTACTAATTGATGTGCCAAAAACTGTATTAGGCACTATGCAAGCGGGAAATGTACAAATATAGGCAAATGAGAGGGAGTGGGGTTTCTTATGAGAAATATAATCTCTACTAGGGCTTTGTGAATTCCATTTTGCCTGGTTTGAAGCACTCTATCCTTCCATTTTCTGTATCTTGAAAATGGACGCATAAGAATTACCATTAATGATTTATTGGTTCGCAGCAAGCTCCTGAATCAATGGGCAGAAGTTTCCAGAATAGTGCTAGATCCAAAGTAGAAGCCTTTGGGCAAATTGCCACATTCAGGCTGGCTAATGCTTTGGGCCCCTAAGCACTTCATCTCTGGCTCCTTCTTGGCTCCAAAGATTGTGGGCCACGGCTCCAGGCAGGTGGATAGGAAAGGGGGCTCTGAGTCTTTTTTTTCCAAAGGGGCTGATTGCTGCCATCCCTGCTACTCTGGCAGGTTTTGAGAAAGAGAGAGGGGACCTCTCCCCCTGCCCTCAGGCTAGCAATTAGAGAACCCAAATTGTCTCCTGCAAGAGGCACTGTTGTTCCAATGTCATTTCAGCATAAAATAAATTGCACAGCCCATCAGCCTGCTGGAGGCCAGCACTTACTGGCAGCTCCCACCAGCTCTGAAGAGGCTACTCAGATATGAAGACAAGTCAACCAGCTGCAGCCAGTGCTGGAAGTGACCCTTCAGGCCCCGGGAGCACAATTCTGTCACACAAGAACCCAGTGCATGCCCAAAAGGGCACAGCTTCAGCCAGGCGCTGGCAACAGCTCTGCCAGGCTGGTCTCCTATTTGTCAAGTCCCAGCAAAGAGCAAGATAAACAATTCAGAGATAAAGGGTAACCATGCCATCAATATGGAGTCTGTTATTCTAGATGTGTGTTCACGTGTGTGTGTCTGTCTGTGTCTGTGTCTGTGTCTGTGTGTGATCCTCTGATGCTGTCTAGTTCTGTGCTCATCACCTCCTGCCTGGGCTGCTTTGACAACCTCTAACAGGTCTCTGCCTCCACACACTCTCTCTCCTCAGCTGTCCTCACCTATGCCACGAGATTTGCGTCCTGCTTTCAAATGTTTAACCCTAGAACTTTGAGGCCTGATCAAATGTCCCCTCCTTCATGACACTCTCCCCTCCACCCTCACTCTGCCACCGCAGCAGCTGGAAGATATCTCTCCTCCCTCTGAAAAATAAAAAACAGCCAGCATTTATTGATTGCTTGTCACATTTAAATGCGTTGTCACATTGATCCATCATACCAATTCTATTACTATCCCCATTTTACAGATGAGAAAGCTAGGATTTAGGTGGCTTGCTGAAGGTTACAGAATTCCGAAACTGCAAAGCCAAACTTGAACCCAGAACTACTGACTCCAAAATTCATGCTCTTAATTACGTGCCACACTCTCTCTTGAGCTGCAAGGGGTGAGCAGGGAAGGACTCAGCTCTCCTGCAATTCCCATGACCATCTCAAACAAATTTATAATCTAGGTCGTGATAGATTTATTCTGATGCCCATGAAACCTTGTCAAGGGCTTCAAGGCCACTCACTTCTCTGACCCCTTGGAGGCTCTGGGAAAGGCCCTGGCAATGTGTCCACATGACCTGATGTTTTTATAAAACTCTCTAAAGTAATATATTTTAACCAAAATTGGTTAAAGCAGCTGTCTCTTTCCATCCCAGCCTCCCTCCATCACGCTTCCCCTCACGTCAGTGGTGCCAAAGCGGCCATGGGGTGGGCTTTTAGGGATCCCACTCAGGGGAAGTTGAATTGGGAAAGCTTTTAGTTGGGTTAGTTATAGTTGACTAGTTTATAGTTTTACACATAGTTAAGATATTGCTTAGATATGTCTCAGGAAGTAACCTTTCCACCCACTATGCCAAATCAGCCAGCACTATGACCCAAGGGCGCAGGGCCAGAGGTCATATTGCATGGTGAAGATGCCCATGGCTCCTCATGCAGAGTTGTTCACAATTCCAAAGTCGCAGGGCATCAGCCTGTAGCATTATCACAAAAACAAGTACGTCTGTGTGTGGAGTTGCATATTTCATGAATCCCGACTACCGTATCAATAATAAAAAAGAAATTTTGATGAACTGCGCAGGAAGAAAGAATTATCTTTCTGTTCCCTCTTTAGAAAATGACATCCCAAAACTATTGTCATGTGAAGAAGCATCAAATAATGTGTAGCCAAAAAAGGTAGGGAGAAAGTGCTATAGAGGCGTGCCAGTCAGCTGATTCATTTCTTAAATCTATTGTTTCTCTGGATTTTGTGGTGTTGTGATACTGTCAGCTTTTAAAATATATAATTTATTGTGATCTATTTTCCTTTTGAAATATGCATTCAGTTTTATATCTAATTCTGTATTCATGATTTTGTTTTCTTTTTATTAAATAACCTCCCTTGCAATCAATAAGCTTCAGACCCCCCAGAACCTGGATCTGCCCCCTGAATCTCAGTAAAACAGCACTCTTGGCATGCAGACACCACTTCAAGTGCCCCAGCCCCTCCTTCCATCCAGCTACAGTGCCCCGAGGCTGTTCCATGTGGGCATTCTGGGCCACAGCTACAGTTTTGCACACTTCTCCCATGGCACCCATCACTGTTTACTTATATTATACTCATTTATATTCCTGCTTTACTTCTTTCCAGTGACCACCTCAGAGCCTTACGTGGAGTAGACACTCAATAAATGTTTCAAGATGAGAGCCCTCCTGGGCTCAGGCGGCAAAGAGTAGACCAGGTCGAGGGGCATGGGGTGCCCTTGGATCCCAGGTCTGCACGCTGGGAACAGCAGACTATGTCTCTGATGTTTATCTTTTGTACACTCAGATTGGAGGGCAAAGATTTCCTTCTCTATTTCCCTGTGTCTCGATCCCTGACTCTCTTTTTAAATCTTTGATTCTCTATTTCTCTATCTTTCTCTGTCTTCAGCCCTGGTGGAAAAAGGGCTAATACAGCTGTCTTTGGAAGGAGCAGGAATGAAAACACAGAAGTCAATCACAGCCCCAAATCTTCCCATCCCAGGCAGAGAATTCGGGGAGAGGCACCTGCAGATAGGCAGCATTCCAGGGAGGGGATAAATCAAGCCCAGGCTGTCTGTTCTCCATTAGCGTGGCTCAAACCAGAAGAAATCCAATAGGCTGATGTTTCCCGAAAGCGGGGGCCAGTCTCATCAGTGCCGGGTGAGCTGGGAGGTCTTCTGTGGAGGGAAGCTGAGCTACGAAATCCACTTCAAAGATCACAAGGTTTGGACCCCGCCCAGAAAAGGAGTCTTCCAGCCAACTAGATGGGAACGAAAAGGAAGAGTATTCAGATCACACAATTACTGTCTGGCTAAATTAATTGTGGCCTTCATTTAAATGGATTTGACATTTTAATTAGCAGGGTCTGGTTGTTTGCCGAAATTGAATTTTTGGCATGTGGGTGTTATGTGCACATGTGTGTTTGTTCTAACGGAGCCCAGGCTGGAGCAAATCTACAATGATCGCTTGCTCTGGAGATGAAAGGGTGGCGGCCTGGAAGGAACCAGCCTTCTCTCCAGTTCCCATCCTCAACCTGAAAAGTCCATGGCATTCTCACCTGGCCTCTGCAGGGGGCTTGTGCAGCTGGAGAAAACATCTGTGGGCTTAGAAGCAGCTATGGAAGGGGGAGGGGGATGTGGAGGGAAGAAAGGGAACTGTATGATGGAAGAATGCTCACTTCAAAGCTTTTCTGTGGTTTATTCTAGATGTGGAAACTACAGGTCTCCCGAATTGGCCTGTAGAATGTGCACCCCCAGGGGGCAGCAGAGCACCAGCCCTTGGGAGGCCAGCTGCCCAGTTACTCCATTAGGGCCAGAGATGTGCTCTGTATAAACAGGAGACTTAGCAGCAGGAGGAAGAGCAATCTGAATAGGAGAACAAAGACATGAACCTCCCCGGAGCCTTGGGAGGCCAGCGCCAAACGGGTGGGAAGAAGAGCCAAATGAGTATAGGGAGAGGAGGGCTGGAACAAACCAGAGCTAGAAACAAGTTGGAATCAGTCTCAGGAGAAAAAAATGGGCGTCAGGGCCCACCAAGCATGGATTAGAATTCCCAAGCAGATCCAGCAAGGTGCTGGGCCTGTAGTCTGAACAGAACCAAGGGCAGACCAGCCAGGCAGGCCACTACCCCTAATGCCATCTATGAAGAGAATTAAAATATCCTGGAGATATAAGAAGCTAAGAGAATGCATTTTCCAGAACCCCCCACCCCACCCCAGGGGGAGGACTGCAGGGGTTGGTAGAGTACTTTGCTGAGCCTCACTGGGAGGCGGGGATGGAGGGGTGTTTGGGGGATAAGAAGAGAACTCAGAGATAAAGGAGGCCAAGGTAGGGCTTGTCCCGGTTATAGATACTTGCTAGACCAGCCTCCTTAACTGCAGGGCTTTTCTTTCACTGGATGAGCTGGGCAAGTTTGGAGCCAACCTTGAACTGCTGGGGACAACAGGGGCAAGGCAAGACCAGTCAACAGCAGCCCCTGCTCCGCCCTTCCCCACCAAACTCTCAGCCTTACCTATACATAACTGAGCCAACTGGAAGGGAGTCAGATGAGGACTCTGCCAGGGTGTCCCGCCATCGGGGTCTGACCCTGCTTATAGCAGGCTGTGTCTGTACACAGCCCCAGTGCCGGGGAGTCCCTCCTTCCGTGCCTGCCCCATTGGCCTATGCACAGCCTGGAGTAGCAGAGGCCGTAGCAGGACCCAAGCCTCTTTTTGAAAAGCCGAAGCAAACTTTTTCTCTGCATTCCCCCCACCAGCCTGGAGGCAGAGAGAAAGAAGGCTTTGATTCTGTGATTCATTCCATTGTCGAGTCTGCAATTGAGTTTGAACAGCAACTCTTCACTCCTCTCCTAAGGTTTGTTTCACATCTGTTATAAAGAGCCAGCAATAACGCCTTTCGTGGTTATGTGGTCGATGGAGCAGAGGCAATGAGATTGTCTCTGGGCCGGGAGGAGATAATCTCATTTACTTTGTCTTTTTGATCATGGGAGCAGGTAGGAAAATGGAATTTCATGCAGCTTACTCTTTTATGCTGCAACTGATGATAATGGTTATTTAACATTTCCTGAGTGCCAAAAAGCTACTGGGCACCTAGGACCCTCTCCCCAGCTTAGAAACTGGATTCAGCAGGCAGCAACAAAACAGTTTCAGGGAAAGGCAAACTCCGAGATCATTTTGTCCAGGCCTCATGCCTCTGGATAGGAATGCACATAGAATATTCCAGAAAGGGAAGAGTATGGCCAAGTCTTACATTTCTTCCATTGGTCACTTTGGAACATGGCTTCTACTCAGCAACTTCTCTCTTTGGCGTGAGCCCCCACTCCCTACGTCCTCTCCTCCCCATCCCCGCCACACACACACACACACACACACACAGAGGCACGCGCGCGCGCGCACACACACACACCTCTGCTCACTTTCAGGCCATTTCTTCTTGATATCTGGAGGGGATGAGGAGTGGTACTAGGTAGCTAAGGCTGTCAGATCTGGCCTCGTCAGTAAGAAGAATCTCAAGCCCTTCTGCCACCCCCACCTCTCTACCCCTTCCCACCAAGATCCTCCCATAAGGAAAAAGGAGCTAACAAACTGAGTGCTCTTGAAAAGATGCTCTCTTCCCTGGTCTCAGTTTCCTCGTCTGTAAAGTGACAGGGTTGGATGAGGTAATGATTACGATCTGTTACAGCTCTGATGCCAGGGGGGAACTCTCGAAGGGAGACAGTCCAACTAGAAGGCTTAGGTCAGCTCCCGACGACTGGATGTGGCCATGCTGAGGGGGGAGGCCAGTGCAGCTGTGCCCCCGGTTAAGGAGGGCAAGGAAGAAGAGAAGAAACAGAGAGAAGGGTACAGGAAACTGTTTTAAAAGGAGTCTTTAAAGTGGTGAGGTTATTTCTTCTGAGCCCTAAACTGAAAGCAACTTCAGATGGAAAGTCTGAGTGCTTCAGATGGGGCAAGTTGCATGACGGGAGCTGCCCAGCTGGGGACTGCGGTCTTTTGGGAGCACAGTGGCCATCCATGAGGTCCAGCAGAGCCCTGCCCTGGGAAGGTGTTTGCAGGACTTAGAGGGGGCACAGGTCCCCCTGAGACAGCCACAGTCAGCTCTGGACTTGGGCTCCTTCCATCAAGCCCTGGGCCCAGTTCAAACCACCATAATCCATCCCACTCTGAGAGTCTGTAGTGAGGCACATGGTTGGTGGAGGCAGGAAGACCTTCTTGTTGGTGCCAGGAGAGAGGAAGATGATCTGGCAGACTCTAAAAGCCCTAAAGCTGGGCGACAGCATCAGGAGGGAGATGGAAGACGTGGTGCGTGTGGAAGGTTTTATGGAGTGATGGTAATAACTCCTCCATCTCTACAGAGCTTTCCAGTTATAAAGCCCTCTCACATCCATTACCTCATCTGAGTCTCTTTGCAGCTCTAAGAGGCAGGCAGGGTGCCTGTTATCTTTCTCTGTTCTATAGGTAAAGAAGCCGCAGTGAAAATGAGTTCAGTGACCCGCTCAAGGTCGCACAGGCAGCTCACAACAGAGCAGGGCAATTCCAATGGGACTAGTATATAATTAGCCCCATCTTGGTGGCGGGAGCACCAGCCTGGCAGGCAGGCACAGCCAAGCCCCAGCCCTGCTCTGCCCTAGGCCGGGCCATTTGCCTCCTCTGAGCTTTACTGTTTTTATCCGCAAAATTGAGTAATAGCAATTTGGGCAGTTAAGGCAGATGATATGTGTATAGGGCCCAGGCCTGAGTAGACATATCAACATATCTACTCTTGTCTTCTGCTAGCCTTTGAGAATCTCCCTTCCTTGGAGTAGACGGGGAATGAGGTGGGGTCAGACAGACATGGTTTCAAACCCTGCTCACCACCTGGCCATGTGATCCTGGTACAAGTTACTAGAGTCTCTGGCAGTTGCCTTCTCTGGAAAGTGGGGCCCACAATACCCACCTCATGGAGGTGTTTGAAAGTTAAGTGAGAAAGCATATAACGCATCCAGCATCCTGTCTGTCTTAATAAATGCAGTTTCTCCTTCTTTCCTTCTCTTCACTGCAGCACGAAGTAGCCATCTTCACCAAGCCTGCCAACAAATCTCAGAGCGCCAGGTCGTTTCCAGGCCCCTGCTGCCTCCTCCACCTTGAAAACAATAATGATTGTTGTTTTCATTTACCAAGTACTTACTCTGGCTCAAACACTGTTTTCAGTGTTTTACCTGCATTATCTCATTTAATTCTTACAATAGTTCAGAACTATCAGCCCCACTGTGTGGATGAGATAATGAGACACAAAGAGCTCAGGAACTTGCCCGAGGCTTGACAGGTGACGATGACGGGCAGAGACTGGGCTCTAAAGCCAGAGCTTTCCACCTGACTGACCTCTAACGCCACTGTGCCTGCTGCCCACAGGCTTGGGGACAAAGGCCCTGCCCACGCCACAGCGCCATGCCCCATGAGGAGGGGACACTGAGCAAGCCGGGAAGCACCCTGGCCCAATTTTAAAGGCCAGATTTAATCATTTATGCAAATGCCAGGAATCTATTTGCCAAAGAGAGTCCAGGTTGAGTTTCATTTGAGAAGCCGGAGAATGTGGATGATCCCAGAAAGCCGATTAGCACACAAAGGGATATTATCCTCTGCCAGAAAAGCCAGGCAGGCACTGAAGATATTAACAAAATTGACTCTGCGTGCAAACTATTCAATTAGAGAGCCAGTGGGTTTAGGAGCAAGAGTGAACGTGAGGTGTGGGAACCCCTCCCTTACCACCCAGAGAGGAAAGATTTCAGGGTTAGACCTCCTTCCCTGGTGACTCGATGGGGCAGGGCAGATTAAGGGTTTCACCAAGGCCTGGACACCCACTGCCCAGCACAGAGCCTGGTCTTTGGTCAATGTTCAAGGGTAGGTGAATGAATGAATGAATGAATGGATAGATGAATGAATGAAACAACCAAACAGTTCTCTTACCAAGAGGTAGCAAAGAATTTGGAAAGTTTCCCAACACCCTATCATCTTAGGAGACTCAAAAAGAACCCTAGTCCTTAGGAGAGTCTTGAAAAAGAACTTCCTGACATTGTGATATAAGAAACAGATGAAGAATGAGGGAGGACATGCTAACCCCAAGAAAGAGATTCCTAAATATCTGGCCAGGGCCAGAGGACCACAGGGGAACGGGTAGAAGGGCATCCACCATCTGACTCCTAAAATGATGAGAGAAATTGAACAAGGGTCAAGCCAAGTGAAACAGAAGATGTTAGCAGTTGATTTTTAGTATATTTTTCTAGATGTTGAAGTGTTGGGAAAATCAGCATGGCCCACCCTCCTTCTGCTTCTGTTCCCCAACCCTGATCCCACCCCAAATCTCAGGTACTTCCCACCAAGTAACAGTTTTATAGGACCCAGCCTCGGGCACAGTCCACACTGGTCACACCCATAGAACAGTTCTCACCAGGATGCACTATTTGCCAGCTCCAGGCCTGTATTTTTAAAAGCTCTTCTCTTCTCAGAGCTGATAGTCACTTTATGAAACAGTAATAACCACTACAATTTAGAAGGTGTTTACTATGTGCCAGGAGCTGGACTAGAGGCTCACATGGATCATCCCATTTTATTCTCAGAATAACCCAGTGGGATTGATATATAATTAGCCCCATCTTATTTATTTGACCCAGGTCACGTATCTAATAAATAAAGGATCCAGAATTTCAAGGCCCAAGACACTGAAAAGATTATGACATTCCCTTGAAATAAAATGCAAAAGAAAAGCAAAACTGGATCATAAAAGAAATGTAAAGAAATACACAAAGTTCTTAGCTTTCCCATGATTTTTCAAATATAAATTTTGAAAATAATAATAAAAGTACTTCCTTAACTATTGAGTAACCTATCAGGATGAACCCCGTTCTGTCTACCCCATGCCTGAGGTCTTAACCACAGTACTCCTTCACTAGAGGGACTTTGCTTTTTCCCAGCTTCCAGAACCCCCAGACCTTCCAAGAGGCCCCAACGTTTGTTTCTTCTCAGAGATCACAAACTAGATATTGCAAGGGGTGGGGGGTGATGGGGAAGGGAATTGAGGTTGATTGAGCTCAAATCTTAGGAAAGAGATTATAGGAAATCTGCTGGTTCACCAGCCACTTGGACTCCTTATCTGAGCCAAAGTAATCACTTGCAGAAGGGCAAACCCGTCCATTGCTACAGCCAGTGTGGGGAGATGCTTCTCTTTATCTTCTCCAGGAGCTGAAGAGCTTCTGCCCTGGTAATCAGCTTCTGTGAAGGAGCTGCCACTCAGGCTTGGCCAGGGTTTGTGAATCTCCCTTCCTTGGGGTAGACAGGAAGTGAGTTAGCCTCAGACAGAGAAGGCCTGGACCTAAAAGATCCCGCCAGGGTGAGGAAACTAAGCGTGTTCTAGCGCTGCCTTCCTCACGTTGGATGAGCTGAGTTCAGCACAAACTTGGAGGCCAGATTTCATGGAGTGATCCCCAACTGGGATGCACAAGTCTAAGGTAATTGGATGAGAGAGCTCAGGTTGACAGACACGGGTACGTCAAACCTGACAGACTTCATTCTTTCTACCGTATTTCGTGCAAGAGGCACTTTCTGTTGTGTCTGCCCTGTCATGCCCTCCCCCAACCACCACCGCCACCACACACCACCCTTTGAAGATGGCTCCTGTCACTCTGGAGGGGAGCATTTTTGTACCTGTGTTTGTGGAATGTGATCCTGAGGGGCCAGAGGGGCGCTTCACCTAAGCTGGGCCGATGGACTTGGAGAACTGCGACTTGAAGGACTTGAAGAACAAACACGGACTTGAAGAACTGGAACATGGGTTTGTGGCACGGGAGCTTAGAGAGACGACTGAGGCTGGGCTAGGGGTGGCCATATTCTGCCACGTACACAGAAGAGCAGAGGAAACTTTTCTGCCAAGAAAGAAGCAGTTGCACGTGGAAAGAGACGAGACCACACAGCTGGACAGTAGCTGTCTCAGGCCCTGAGAACTTTCTAGTTCCTGGTTCTTGACTCTAGTGAAGCCCAAATTTATGTCCTGCCCTTGGTCTAGGCTCATCTACACCCCACAGAGTCTCCCTGTTCCTGAAGCGCCGCTGAGTCAGTTTCCATTATTTGCAATCAAAAACAGAGTCTTGAAAAGCAATTAACATTATCATTCAGATTAAGAGTCTACTAATGGTTATTGAATACCTATTATGTGCCAGGCACAGTTCCAGAAACATTGCCGTGATTCATCTCACTTACTATCATCTTCATCAGCAACATCATGAACATTAGTATCAGAAGGTATTTATGAAGAGCCTACTTTTGTGTAACATTCGGCTAGACTGAAAGATAGTGACACCAGCCAGGCCCATGTCCCCTGACAGTTTTCTAGACAGGCATTCTGATGTGAAGATGAATGCACAGGGCATTGAGTTAAGACACAAAGAGACAGTGAGATACTTGCCTCATGATCGCGTTAGGAGGAAGGAAGGAGGCAAGACCTAGGCAGGGCTTTTAAAGGGGCAGCTGAGGGCATTCTAGATCGGGGTGAGGTGCTGAACCCCAGAGGAGGGAAAGCTTCAGGCCTGATCAATATGAACGAGAAGTACATAGAAAGGGCTGTAAAAGAGGCTGGAATATTGTCAGTCCCAGGGCCAGCTTCCCTAATCAGTAGGTATCTGTTTGGTCTCTGACTTCAGGGAGGAAGGAGAACTGAGGGAGACTGAGGCACGTGGTGGGGTGGAAGGGGTGGGAGAAGAAGAACCAAAAGAAACCTTCAGTGTTGATATTGATCCACCTGGCAGATGTCAGTAAGCATCCAGGATGCCACAAACAGCAGACAGCTGGCAGGAAAGAGAGGCTGGAAGAGATAAACATTCAAAGGGGGAAAGCACTAAGTAGAGAGGGGAACTGAAGACAGAGGGAGGGCCAGAAGGATCCAAAGGGAAAGGAAAGAGGCAGCAGGAGAAAAGTTAGACAAGAGTAGAAGGTGCAGGGCGGGGTCAGAGGCAGGCAGGGCCAAAGACTAAAAAATGTAAAGGGGGACAAAGAAACACCAAAACAGAATTACAGCAAGTCAAGGATAGATAAGACAGAGTACAGAAAGGGAAACCAAAGAGGAGCAGACAGTCAAAGCTTCGGAGACGAAGAGTGGGAGGCCAACAGAACCCTTGAGGAAGGGGTCTCTCCTGGCCACCTCACCACTGCCCTGAGGACATTTCCATTTCCTTCATCTTTCTGCCTGGAAATCTTGAGTTCTTTCTCTCCTTCGTTCTGTGTATCGATAGCCGAGCACTGTGCTCTGTCGTTTTTTTCTTCCAAATATCTGTGACGTTCTCAGTCCCTCTCCACCCGGACATCACCGTGGATGACTGATCCTGGAGGTTGTCCCTGCCTCCAGACTCTTGACGTGGTCTCTATCCAGGTCCCAATAACAGTACTCTCTCTCATTCATCTACTGCTTTACAAAGAACTTACGAGATGACCTCTGATACTCCCATTTGTGCCGTGAGTTAACATTATTATACCGTTTGACAAATCCATTCATTCATCAAACCAACACTTCTTGAGAACCATCCCCAGTTCCATGCTCAGTGCCAGAGATTCAACACTGAGCATGACAGTTACAGCCCCTGCCCTCCTGGACCCACCATGTTAGACCACTGTTTACAACTGTGATAAGTGCCACACGGGAGAAGTGGAGGGTGCCACAAAGATGTATGACACAGGGCCTGACTTAATCAGAGTAGCAGGGAAGTTACATTTCAACTGAGCTCTGAAGAAGTGGGGAAACTGACGTTTGCAGAGGTTATTAGACTTGCCCAAGGACTAGAAGCTACGGATCTGGGCTCAGAACTGTCATCTTCTGACTTGGTGCAGTGCTCTGCTCTCCATGCCACTGTGCCGTTAGGGAGGCCATGTTCCCAGGCATGGAATATACAGAGGTAGGAACAACTTTCCTGCCTTTGGGAGAGATGGTTCTTTTCCAGAGCCTCAGTGGCTTTCCCTGGGCCTCTCATTTCAACCCACACTCCTCTGCCTGGATCCCTAGGCCTCTATATAATCTAGCCACACCAACTGGTTCACCCTTCTCCCTCACTATTCTGCAGTAACGGCCCTGGACGCTAGTGAAGCCTTTTTCTAGCCCTGGGATGGTAGCAATATAAATTTCCATTTAGCCATGACAAATGACTCTGCTGCTCCCCTCTCCATCTCCTGACTATCCCATGCCATAGGGCATTCTTGAATTCATTTGTAGATTTATTCATTCATCCAACACTGTTCATGCTATTTCTCCTACTTGAATTTTAATTTCCTTTACTTTTCACTATCTAGGTCCCACTTACCCTGAGTCTTGTCTTCCTTTCTTTAAATCCTTGACACATTATAATGAAAGGAGTAGAGAACCAAAAGTCAGAACACTAGTGTTCAGGTCAACTTATAGCTTAAATTTTCTCCACCTCAGTTGCCCTATCTTTAAAATGGTAAAATAGTGATCGCTCACCACAGAAATATTGGCATAAGAATCGAAAAAGAAAATAAATTTCTGTATGAAAGCACTTTGCAAATTGCTGTACAAATTTAGGGAATATGAGTTGATTAATGGACTCCTAGCTCACCTGGAACTCTCTCTTGTGCACACTCCTGTTTGTGCATATTCAACATTAACCCTGTTTTGTCAATTTCAATCCATGCATTAGTCTTCTCTCCTCAACTGGATTACAAGTAGTTTGAGGAGTGGGGACACATCAAACCCTTTTACATCCCACCTGGTGCCTAGGGAAGTGCAAGGCCCTTAATAAACGTTATCCAGGCTTGCTGATTGAGGACTCGTGAAGTGTAAGCACAGTGTCCAGGGAGCTCGCCCCAGCATCACAGAAAGGGGAGGAGGCAGGCAGAAGAACTCACACTTTGACCCCTGGCCAGCTACTGCCCACAGTTGCAGGGCTGTCAAAGAGATGAGCAGCCCAGTTCTTCATACCATCCAACCTCAGGCTACCCATGCCCCAGAGCTGCCTGGGGGCCCAGTGCCACCACACCTTGGAAATAAGAATCAGCAGCCCTTACACTGATTTGGGGATGAGGCTTCTTTTTCTGGCAATTGTTGAATTTCCTATTCCCTTTGTGAGCTTAGCTGAAGCTTTTCTATAGCCCTGGGGGTATGGCAATAAATTTCCACTTAGCCATGACAAATGACTCTGCTGCTCCCCTCTCCCTCTGCCCAGACCCACCTCCTTGTTCTGAAGTCTCCCTCTCAGAGGTAGCCCAGGGTCTTTCTTTTATGTGACACTGGCAGGTACAAGCATTTCCTGTTCCCCGAAGCTGGTATCATTCCAGAACAGACTG